TACTCCGGTATGCACATTCTCTCTACCGTTACTCTCCCGTGGTTTGCAGTCTAAATGGTGGCGCGAGTTCGATTAGGAGAGGGCAGTTGAGGATGGCGTGAGGAGAGAGAACCGCCATATTTGGTTTGAGAAGGACTCGGTTTGAAGGACCTCTAAAAATAGCGTGTGTAATATAGACTCTGCTGGAGTGCTGTTTTTCTCCTCCAAACGCCAAACACCGGATGGATTCCTGGATAGAGGAGCTGCTGAATATGATGCTCTAACGTTGGACGGAATCACGGCGGCGTCAGGCAGCAAGGACTACTACAGTCTGCTTGCCGGCGACCGCGAGAGCCAGCCGTCGTCGCCTCGTCGGATCGGATCATCGGGGCAGGACTGGTCACGTACTCACGTCTGCCTCAGAGCTCTGTCTGGCTCTGATTTGCCTCGATCGCCATTAGCTGTTTCTCTGCTCGGCCCACCTTCCGGCCGGACCCGGAGAGAAGTGATCCGTCCAGTCGTGGGCTCAGGGCTCTCGCTAGGGCTCACCTGCCAGCCTCTGCCACGTGAGCGCCTTTCACTTCCTGTCTCCTCTTTGAAAGGCACATAGTATGACTGAAAAAAACAGAAAAACTGAAAGGGAAAAACATATGGTTTTGGCTCCTTCTAACTCGTGATTTTAATTAAAAACACGGGGATATAAAAAATACTACAGGATTGCAATTCCTTTGAAAGACAGAAACACATGACTAATAACAAAATAGTCGTTTGAATGTCTCACAGGAAAATTTAAGGAATTGAAGACACAAGAAAAACTCCATGTTAGATTTCTACTAATTAAATTTCTATGAAATGCTCTATTCTATATGATTTTTCAAAGGAATTTTGAGGGTGGGGGAGGTAGGAACTAAACTCATATTAAGAATAATGCATGAGGTAAACCTCATGTTATTTTATAGGAATTTGCATGGTTAAGAACTTAATTTGTTTCAAAGGGTTCAATAGAAAAAAAATCCTAGAGGGTTAAGTGTAGAGTATTTTGTGATTGATAGTGGTGGAGCCAGCATCATCATGAAGCCCGGGCGACTAATAGTATTTTTCGGTGATCGATTAATTTTTATAGGTGTTAATGGCTATCAATAGAGGTGACGGCAATGGCGGAGCCCAGGCGGCCGCCCGACCTACCCGGGAGGTGGATCTGTCACTGATGACTGACGACTGAACGAATACAAATTGACATCGACAAACAGAATTTTTAAGAAATACCATCGCACAAGTGTTTTTCTCTTTTTTTTTGTCAAGCATTGTCGGTTGAGCGCTAATTGACTCACGTCAACCACATAAAAAAAATCTTTTTACCCTTATAATATATGAAGCCCTTCCTAGTAATAATTATAAAGCCATATCGAACTTGTCTCTTAATTCAGCATTCCTTTACTTTAAATCTAAAATTCGTAATTAATAATTATAGAAGATTGTAACTTATAGAGATTCTTCTTTTAGTCTAAATAAATCTAACGTACTGTAGTTAGAGAGATAACTTGCATATTTTATACTACATCCGTCCTAAAATGTAAACATTTTTAATCCAGATTCATAGCTAAAAATAATTATATTTTAGAACGGATGTAGTATATGATTAGCCCTATTTTTAATGGGTAAATAGAAAATAATAGCACTTATAACACGTGGCTCGACATCTCATTTTGCTAATCGACAAATCGTTTAAAAGCCACTCGATCGATTTGTTAGTTACTACTCCCTCCGTCTCATAATATAATAATCTAGGATAGGATGTGACACTTTATAAGTATAATAAATCTGGACGGGAAGCATGTCCGAATTCGTTGTGTGTCCTCATTCGATACTAGATTGTTATATTATGGGACGGAGGGAGTATTTCTCGGTGCGATCGACACGCATATATCTAGTCTTGTCAAAACGTATCTACACGTACATCACATGCTCATGAGACAAGCGCCAACAGCGATGCCGTTACTCCACCAAAGAGTAGTAATTTGCGGCGGTGCATGCATGGCGGCAGGTCAGTATTGCGGTCGCCGACAGCGATGCCGCAACATATATCTCAGATGATTTACTATTGATATGATGCCGGATCAAACATAATCCTTGTGATGGCCGGACGATCGAGCTAGCTAGGGATGCATGCATGGTTGTCGTAGTAGCTCTCGTTGGATGGATATATGCTCATCAAACCCACAACCCGATCACAGTGATCAGATAGATAATTAACCATCCAAATCTTAGATTCCTTTAATTTAAAACAGATAATAAATTATTTTAGGATGCCCCCGCAAAAAAAAAATATTTTAGGATGCATTCTCTCCGTAAAAAAAAGGTTGAATCCTAAATTTCAAAATTTGTTCTAAAATAAGTTGATTCCTACTCCATCTACCCCCTAACAGGGTGTTTAAAGACTTGCATCCTTCATTAATATGGGAAAAAACGAGAAGAGAAGATAATGAGGTGGAAGGAGTAATACTGGTTCTATAGCTAGCTAAAACAAGAAAAAAAAAACTCCCCCATCCCATAATATAAGGGATTTTGAGTTTTTCCTTGCACCGTTTGACCACTCGTCTTATTAAAAAAATTAAAATTATTATTTACTTTTTTGTGACTTACTTTATTATCCAAAGTACTTTAAACGTAACTTTTTATTTTTTATATTTGCACATTTTTTTAATAAGACGAGTGGTCAAACAGAGTAAGCAAACACTCAAAATCCCTTATATTATGGGATGGAGGGAGTAAAGTTGTATTAAAATTTTGTTGGATTGAAATCAAATAACGAACTTGCTATTATTCCATTTGGTTTACAAAAAATGCAAACACTTCACTGTTAGGTTTTTTTCTAAAACAAATTCTGTTAAGCTCTACGGTAATGCAGTTGAAGTTAATTACTGTTTTTTAAATAATAGTATGGGCTATAATTATTGTATTCTTTTTCGAGAAGAAGAATCAAGTTTGTTCTCAAGGTTTAGAAATTCTCATTTACTAATCTCTACTATTATAAAAATTTAAAATATTTTTGTCGGCACTTTGATATGTCATCCGTGTTTGAATCTTTTTTAAATTCATTCTCTTTGAAAATACAGTTAAGTGGGTTTCTAAGTTTCTTCGCTTTTATAATTAAATCCCATACCATTCTTACCCAAAAAAATCTTTACCCTTATCTAATCATAGGAACAATTTAGTAATCTTTTTCTCTCTACAAGTAAATATTTCTTTCGGCATCAAGTAAGTACTTTTGAATAATAAAATATTGTGACTGGCTATACTGTATGGAAACATACTGGAATTTAAAATGTGAAACCGATTCTAGTAGATTTGTTATAAAATACTCTACAATTGTACTTTGGCTGTTTTTTATAGTAAATTGCATCGGAGGTACACGGACTTGTTAGTTAGGTGCAATCTAGTACATAAAATTGTAAAACACTCATTTTAGTACACGAACTTGTTTGTTGCGTGTGAACAAAGTCAAAATCACATAGAAAGGTTAATCTTGTTGATTTTGTTTTTATTTTAAACTCTATGTAAACATGTGTCTAAAAAGATAAACATATAATAAGGCATAATAATTACATAAAAAAATAAAAAACCGAGTAATGATGTAAGAGATAGAATCAAAGAACGATAAAGTGGAAACTAAGTTTACAAATATAACCTTTCTACTATGTATACGCACATCATCTACTAATTTATACTCCATAATGTTCAACATAGAAAAATTGATCTTGTTGTGCCATTTTAACCCTAGTTTGCATGTATTGGACAAGTTCATGCATCAAAACGAGCATTTTACAAGTTTACACACTAAATTGCACCCATTTGACATGTTTATGTACCGCTAATACAATTTACTCTTTTTTTTATTAAAGCAATGATACAATAAAACAAGAAATATAATGTGTCCACAATTAATACGGATAAAAACAACGATGTAGCTCAATTTATTGGATTTTTGTGGTTCAACCTGTTTATCTGGATTAAAGTTATAGACTTATTAGTACGAGCGTTTATATTTACGGCTAATTAATAAAAATAATAGATAACAAATCTATCTATAGCAAGATACTTATGCGTCTGTGCACTTATAAGAATAAGTGTGCGCGAGGTACATGCATAGTATGCATCTAAACTAGATTTCTCAAAAATAAAAGTAAATTTCATACTTTAGCTAAATTATTGCAAAACTACATATTTAACACTAATTTTTTTAAAAAAAATATTACAAAACTATAAATTTAGTAATAAAGTTATCACAAAACTATATATTTTGGAGTAGAAATCCTTAGTACTAGTGTTATGTTCGAGTTATAAGTGCGTAAATATTATGATTAAGTAGACACTAAACATATAGTTTGTACTCCCTCCGTCCCAGAGGGTGTGTTTAGTTCATGAAAAAAGTTGGGAGTTTAAAAAAAAAGTTGAAAGTTTACGTATGTAGGAAAGTTTTTGATGTGATATGATGTGATGGAAAGTTGGGAATAGGGGGAAAACTAAACACGGCCAGAATATAAGAAATTTTAGAGTTAAACACGGTTATTAAGAAAGTAGATAGAAGTGAATGGTAGAGAGTTGTGATTGGATGAGTAGTGCAGATATGTGGGAAAAGTAAAAGATGGAGGGTTGTGATTAGTTGGGAAGAGAATGTTGGTGGAGAAGTTGTTATATTTTGGGATAAATCATGAGGGGTTAAAAGTTGTTATATTTTGAGACGGAGGGAGTAATAACTTTGTTACAAAATCTGTAGTTTTGTAATAATCCATATTAAATATGTAGTTCTCTGAGAAATTTAGTGTTAAATATGTAATACATCATCTTAAATTTGTAGTTTTATTTATGATAAACAGATCAAAGTATAGGAATATGTACTAGTTCTTTTTGAAATTTTACCCACAAAATAATTACTACTGCTACTGAAAGAACGCATACTCCATCACGGTTCACTGCTATTAGTACTAGTAGTACTTCAGTTTCAGTCACCATTAATAAAAACAAGCCATTCAAAATTATTACACCAGCCATTACACCAGCTGCGGCCGGCTGCTTTTATCTGATTTGACAATGGACGTGACGGCCACCCGACCTCTCTTTTCCTACTAGCTCTCCCCTACCCTACCCCTCTTTCCTTCTAGCAGTAGCCTCTACTACAGTCTACACACCCTCTCTATGCAAAACGCAATCTCATCTCTGTGCAGCCACTCATCCGATATTTCCCCCCATTTCTTTTCCTCTCCACTGTTTCCCTCCTCCTTTAATTATTCCCCCCCACTTCGCCTAGCTTTACAAACCCCCACAAATCGTCATTCTAACCAAAAGAAATCAGCAGGATTAGCCCTAGCTAAGTACTCCCAATAGCTGTGATAAACTGATAATTAGCCTTCTCTTCTTCCTTGCTGAGCTGGTCGGTGTCGTGTACCAAGAAACCCTCATCAAGCACATACGCTAATGGAGGAGCTTGAAGGCCACCGGGGTGAAGGCCGGCTGCCTCCTCCTCCTCCGTTGCTGCCGTTTCCCAAGGTCTCCGTGCAAGTCTACACCGTTCCTAGCTCGTCCACCGCCGCCTCCGCCGCCGCTGCAGGCGGAGCTCGTCAGGCTGTTGCACCGGCGACGCGGGACGGCGGCGACGGCGGCGGCCGCGCCGCCGGAGTTCTTGACGACCCTGTCAAGGCCAGGATCGTCTCCCACCCTCGCTACCACCGCCTCCTCGCCGCCTTCCTCGACTGCCACAAGGCACGATGAACACATGCGCCGCGCATGTTCTTGATTTGTGTGTGTAGATCGGGGTTTTAAATCTCCCGCTAAACTGCCGCTATCTCCCATTATAACGGTTAGAGAATGGTTCTAACTATTTGCTCTCATCATGTATAATTTAGCCGCTATAGCTCCATTTAACCCGTTATAACGGTTCGAGAAGCTAACCGCTAAATGCACATTGTTGTAGATCATAGAGATCGATGGATGTATTTGCCCATGTTGCAAACTTGCAATTCGCATGCATGTTTCTAATTAACTTGTGATATGCCTGTAGGTTGGCTGCCCGGCGGAGGCGGCCGAGGAGATCGCGGCGGCGGCGCGGGTGCGGGAGGCGCGGCAGCGGGCGGCCGCGGCGGCGAGCCGCATGCCGCCGGCGCCGGAGGACCCGGAGCTCGACCAGTTCATGGTCTGCAGCATTATGAAAGAGCTCAAATTAGTAACTGTAGTGTACATGATTACATCAACTAGACATGACATGATGCACTGTGTAATTTAGTAACTACAGTACTATAAGATGGAATAGATGATTAGAGATCTTGTTAAGGGCGGCGTTTTACTTGGGTTAATCTGCTGTGTGGTTAATCATTAACGAATAATTAATGACGTGACGTGTTGGCATCAGGAGGATTACTGCAAGCTGCTCGTGGAGTGTAAGGAGGAGCTCAGCCGGCCGCTCCAGGAGGCCGAGGAGTTCCTCAGGACGGTGGAGTCAGAGCTCAACTCCATCAATTCTGGGCCACCCCTTACAGCTCTAATCTCAGGTATTTGTAACTTAACCCCTTTTTTTTTCACTCCTACCAAAAACACACTCGCACGTACCACCACATGCATATTACGTACACAAAATGTGTCTCCTAACACACGTTCAAAAATAACGAGACCAATAATACAGGTCTTGCTAAAATCCATGCGGACATGCAACTGTATATATACGTCATACAAATGTGTCTCTAACACACTTAAAGAGAACCCAGTAATAAACAATAACAATGACAGAACTAGAAATTAACAAAACCTAGAGCTGAGTAGGGCTCAACTAATGAAATATTATTTTTTTCTCATAAAAATATATAGTGGATTAAAAGAATTTAAACATGATTATGGAAGCAAGCCTAGGGCTCAAGCCCAAACTATCCTAGGCTTATCTCCGCCCTTGTAACGAACAACCCATTTCACTAAAATCCCATCTAAAATGTATGCCCGCATGAGTAATTGTGCGGTACTAATATTTAAACATGAGGAGGAAAAACCATACATCTATGACTTTTAAATCATGAGTGCACATCGAATGTGTTTTATCTTTGCTTTGTCTTTTTCCACTTTTTTCTTTTTTAGGGCTTATTTGGTATAATTTCTGCTTTGGGATTCTTGTCCAATAGAGTTAGAATTGTACCAAACATTCTCGAGATTTTAGATAATATAGAGTGTAGTTATCGCTTTGCCTATTAAAATTACACTACGAGGGTGGATTGGCATTCACGTCGCTTCTTAACTCAGCTGCAGTCTCAAAGTAGGACGTACCAAAGAGCCCCTTAGCTAGAGGACAACATGGCTACGAGATTATGCTTAATTATTATTTGGATTCAGCAAAATAGTCACTAGGGAGGTATACGTGGTGTAAATTACTACTCCGTACAATAGAAAGGAACAAAATATATGCTTTGTGATACGGGAATTTTACATGAATTAATTTATTTGTTACATTGTTGGAGAAATAATTGTACTCTTAAGACTAAGTAATTGTACTCTTAAGACTAAGTACATAGAGGATATAGTTTACGTAGTATGTTTATGTCAAACAAAAGATATTGAAAACCTCAATAAACTTGTTAATTTGTGTCTTAATGCTAGTAATATCCATCTGTCCAAAAATGTAGGGCGTTCCTTTTCTCATGGTCTCTAACTCAATACTAGCATGAATAATAAATTAAGCTGTATCGTAAATGTATGGAGAAACTCGTAGGATTATACATACTCTTATATCTCTACTCTTATACTACTTCCGTCCCAAAATATAGTCACTTTTAGCTATAAATCTAAACACACAGTTGTCCAGATTTATAGCTAAAAATACTTATATTTCGAGACGGAGGGAGTATGTAACAATGGCCAAATAATTAGATATTGCCGGCAACATCCATATGGAACGGTTCGATCTCGAGATTGAACTTGATTATGCTCCACGTTATGGTGTTTTTTCTTCTTTAACCCCTGTTAGTTGTACTGTTGTAGGTATTATAATTTGGGCAGCCTAACTAGGCATAACCCATGCATTCCGTAGGATTATTATGCGATTTCTATCACAAACATGTAGCGTGATTGAGGTATATGTGGGTTCATGTGCTTCCCTACTGTACGTCTGCACCTACAAGTTCTAAAGATCACTAGTGTTCTGATTGCCTGTACCCACAGCGACCTATCACCTACGTCCTTGACACACGAGAGTTACAAAATCGATGTGTTGGGGGATGTACTTGGTTTGCGTAGTTAGTGAACAGTGTCGGCATTTGTCTAGCTAATTGCTAGCTAGTTATATATGAGCTATGATCTTGTTCATGACTTGTCTCGTCCACTGTTTCTTCCTTTGAAAGTTAGCTTTACTGAATTTTAATATATGTTGAGAAGCGGATAAGCCTTTTGGGGCAACTCTTATGGGTGGATTGGTTTGGAACTTTGGAAGTTTGGATACAAGGGAATGCCACTTTTATTTGGACATGACTGAATAACTGTAGCATTCTTCCTTCTTTTGGGCATCTCTCTAGATCTTCTCTCGCTAGCCACAAAGTACTCTTTTGCGGTAAAAAATATTTAACGTTTATTAGGACAAGGTTCAGTCAAAATTGTAAATTTCGTATCATCAAAAATTTCTCAAATGATTTTTTTTAAAACAAAAGAAATGATACATGTAGATTTGTTTTGAAAAGCACTATCATAATATTATAAACTTTTTAGATTGTATCGACTTAATCTAATATAAAAATTAATTTATCGGAATTTTAATTTTTTGACCGAATCTTACCCTAAACGTTAAATATTTATGATCTTCAATGATCTAGTTGTGTAAATAATTGAAATTGGTAATACAAATAATACATATACGAAAGCATTCCCCTTGCTCAAACTCATCTAGTGTCCATACTATTAAATATGGTACCAACTATGAGCAAGTTTAATAGTATAGCTAACAACTATCTATAAAATTGCCACAACATCTATAACTAACCTAATAGCTCATTCATACAATAATTAACTACAGATATATACCACAAGATTAACAATTGGCCTACCTTTCTCTCTCCCACAGCTTGTTGCAATTCTTGTTACTTACAGCTGGCTACAAATTAGTAGTCCTAAACACAAATATGGTGTGGTAACTCTTATAGTCTACTTACTGTCATGCTCGCTCTAACTAAAACAAAAGGTGTTGTGGACTTGTGGCAGCAAATTTAATGAGGTAAGAACGACAATGTTATATATAGAACGCACGATAACTTTTTTGTACCCTGTTCTCTCTCATTTAGCTAGACATACTAGTATGCCATTTTAAACTTGGGCATGAATTGATTTGTCAAAATGACCCTGTTCCCTATTGTTACTACCTATTGAAAATGATACCAAATTATGCATGACAGAGATAGCTGCCCTCCATTAGCAAGGGCGTATATATAGAGGAAAAGAGGGACATTCACTAGAATTTCTAGAGCGTCTTGTATATAAAATTTTATGGAATATGCAGTTTCATGTGACAGTTTGTTTTTTTCCTTATGTTGTTCCATGCATCTTCTTAGAAGGTTTCACCTTCTGTTTTCCCAATAATATAGGCATGGGTAAAAGCAGTTGCATATGCAGAATCATGCTTTCGATCTAACCATTTTGTACAAACTAAACTAGCGTTCATCGTTCTTCTGGACATAAAAATCGAGCTGTAGTTGTTTGTGTTATCACTTGTGCTTTATTGTAATCCTAATTGAGAACCCTCTGTTCTCTTACAGTTGTGCCTTTAGCACATAGGGACTAGTTAGTTAGGCTGTGTTTAGTTTCTGAAATTGGGGAGAAGTTTGGGAAAAGTTGTTAGTTTGGAAAAAAAGTTGGAAGTTTATGTGAGTAGTAAAGTTTTAGATGTGATGTGATGTGATGTAAAGTTGGGAGTTTGGGGGAAGTTTGGTGTGAACTAAACAGGGCCCTAGAGCAGATTTTATATTGAAGAACGTGTGCATATACAGTAGCGGGAATGTAATTGAACGCCGCAGATTTTATAACAATTTTATTTCATTGACTCGTGCACTTCCAAATATTTTGTTGCCTAGTAATTCCTGCATTTGTTTAAGCAAAATGGCAGGGAGGGGGGGGGGGGAATAGCACCGAGTAGTATATAACAGAGAAAATGAGAACTAGCATTCCTAGATTATTATTACAATTACAGCTATACGAATCACATTGTGCATTGTAGAAACAATTCTTGGTGCAGAACTACTTAATTATTCGCGAATTCTTAATACCTTTGGCTTGACAATGGCATGCAGAATCCAAAGCCGGCCTCGATTCGTCGGACGACGACGAACACGAAGACGGCAGCGGCATGGAGATGATGGAGGCCGCGGAAGACGAGGACCTCGGCATCATCGACCCTCGCTCCGACGACAAAGCGCTGAAGAGGCACCTGCTGAGGAAGTACAGCGGTTACCTGGGAGGCCTGAGGAAGGAGCTGTCGAAGAAGAGGAAGAAAGGGAAGCTCCCCAAGGAGGCGAGGCAGAAGCTGCTCACCTGGTGGGAGCTCCATTACCGGTGGCCGAACCCGTCGGAGATGGAGAAGATCGCCCTCGCCGAGTCGACGGGGCTGGAGCAGAAGCAGATCAACAACTGTTTCATCAACCAGCGGAAGCGCCACTGGAAGCCCACGGAGGAGATGGAGTTCGCCGTCATGGAGGCCTACCACCACCAGAGCACCGATGCCGCGGCGGCGTTCTACGTCGACGTCGACGCCCGCCTCGTCGGAGCGACGGCGGCGGCTCCGGCATCGGCCGTGTACACCGCCAGGCCGGATCATGGCGTGTGGCGCGCATAGCCGTTGCTCGATTCGCCCGTTGCCGCCATCTGGAATTAATCTGAACTGCCCTTGCCTGTTACATATAGTAGGGTTGTTGATGATGGTTTCATATGTTTTTCCCCAAAGGGAAAGTCAGCTTGGACATTGGACCAATCAAGAAATGAAATCTCAGCATGTACCATATGTAAAGTTCTGGTCGGGAATGAATCAGACAGACACACGCTCTTGTTACTGTATATATGCAGTGAAGACAAGCAACTGAACCTAAATCATGCACTTCTGATGTTAATATTTGGTTGTACAGATCTGTGTACATGAACAGTTTAGCTTTACAAAAGATGGACGAATGTTGCAATAAGAGCTGAGAAGATCTGACGTCTAACCATACTGCCATAGTATGGATGTACAGAGAGGGTACACACTACACAGGGGGCATGGTGCAGCTACCCTTTGGAATTAGGAAATGTCAGTGTAGTTCCTTCTGATGCCTTTGATGGCGTACCAATCAGAGTATCAGACAGATTGTGTGCAATTCAGGACTGTGTTTTCAGATCAAGTGTTTCGCTCTCTCTTGGCTCCATTTTACTAGTGGTGAAAGGTTGAACAGACGATCGCAGACTTTCTGGACCTTCAGCGGCAATTCTCTTGCACAATGCATCACAGTTACTTATTACTTCGGTTAACCTGCCCTTCAACTCACCAACTTCCACCTGCAGTGGACGGACTGCAATGTCCGGTAGAGCGAAAATTAATTAATGACCAGTGCTGCCATTGCTATGCTGAAACCATTAAAAAGAGGTAATGGTGACCAAATTTCACTTCAGTAATTGTGCTATGAGTTCCCTCGTTTTTTTTAGAAAAATAATTTGCATATCGTTTGAGACTGAATTTAGCGTCGACATATCCAACAATGTGATGCATGGCCAATTGATTCCTTTTGCTACCAGCCTAAGAGAATGATATTGTTACCTTCAGCAAGGTTGTGAGAGGTTGATCTCATGGAAGTAACAGAATAATTGAACCGCTGGAGAAGCTTAATGGACAAAGCATCTGCTGTTTCTATCTTGTTTTCTATCTCTTCCTGCACCATATGTTAAATATAAGATCTCTCCCCAATAGCCACATGACCAAAAAAAGCATCAAATTACACATTGCTAACACCATAACACCATAACTCTTTAGCTATGTTCTGATTCATCCTTTCTGAATTTAGTCTTGGCCGTGTTTAGTTGTTTTGGCCAAATTTTTTTGACGTATACAGACACACATTTGAAGTATTAAACGTAGACTAATAATAAAACAAATTATAGATTCCGCCTGTAAACTGCGAGACGAATCTATTAAGCCTAATTAATCCGTTATTAGCAAATGTTTACTGTAGCACTACATTGTCAAATCATGGCGTAATTAGGCTCAAAAGATTCGTCTCGCAATTTACATGCAAATTGTGTAATTGGTCTTTTTTTCGTCCACATTTAATGCTCCATGCATGTGTCCAAATATTTGATGTGATGGAAAAGTTGGAAGTTTGAAGGGAACTAAACACAGCCCTTGATATTTGCCTTAAAATTCGTCAGTTAAGTTCTGTATCACACTTCATCAGGACACCCTAGATAACTACTTGAGGCACTAGATATTCATTATGATGCCAGGGGTTCCGTGAAGTCAACATTAACGGGTTGCTATAAATAATTGTTGGTTCAATGTATATCAGTGGTAAGATTTGCATTGGTCTGAAGTGTAAAGCACACATGCTATATGGTAAACCCTGATCGAAATACTATCTTTTCTACTTGTGACATTACTGATGAAAAATTTAGAAGACAAAAAATTAAGTTGCAACAGCAGAAGGAATTTCACCGATTATTTGGCACTACAAAACATGTATCATTCCTTATGATCCTACCATTCTCTCTATCATGGTGAGTCCAAAATCAGCATAAGGATCTATCAACAGCATCAAGCAATGAGATATACCTGTGTTTCACTAATTTTCTTGGCCTTCTCTTCTTGCCATTCACGGTACAGAGAGAAAAGCTCGAACATCACATTTGGATTCAAGTTGCCTACAAATAATTACCAAAACAGATAAGCTATTATACAATTTATATCACACACTAAATACAATAACTATTGCTGCACAATTAGGAGCACAGATGGCCAATCAAACATACCCAAAACCAACAATTGCCACAAATTCTTCTGTGTAATACAGTAATTAACTCACCAGAGGTGGCGGAGGAGGAGGATGGCTTCCGGACGAGGATGTCGGTGAGGCTGCTCTCCGCCTCCGAGCTCGCCGCCGACTGGCCGCTCAACAGCGGCGGGGCCTTCAGAAACCCCAACCCCCACACCCAAACGAACGATTAGCGGCTGAAGAGGAAGCGGAGAGAGGAGGGGAAGAAGAGGAGGACGAGGTAGTCAGGTCCGTACGATGGTGAGGGACTTGATGCGGTGGAGGAGGGGGTCTCCGTCCCCGGCGTCGCGCCGGCCCTCGGACACCGTCGTGATCTCGTCCGCCCACGGCGGCCGCCGCTGCTGCTGCGGCCTGGAGAGGATAGACTCGGAAGCCCCCATGTGATGGGGGGAGGGGGGGAGCTCCTGCCGACGCCGCCGGAGAGACTACGGAGAGAGGAAGCCGACGGGGGATCGCCGGAGTCGCCGCCGCCGCCGGAGATGTGGTTGCTGCTGCAGAGGCAGAGCCGCCGCCTTTTCTCCGGGCCTCAGGGACAAGGTCAGGTCCTGACAAGTTGGGCCTCGTGTTCCTTGCTCTTGGGCTCAATTTTGTTGGGCCTTACGGCCCAAACCAAATGTCTCCAGAAACCGCTTCAGATCTGGCCCAATGCAATGGTGTCTGATGTTCTTTTTTCCATTTTTTTTTGGATTATGGAGCACGTTGTTTCGCTAATTCATATGCTTTATTAGTAAATAAAATATTATTTATATATAAAATTTTTATATGTGTGTCCTTAACAACTCAAAAGCAGATGTTATAAAATAAATAACAATGAAAAACAAAAATCAAAATTAAGTTCTAAAATTTAAATTTTGACTTATAAAAATAAGCATAACCAAAACAACGAGCCTTTATCACTTTGAAGACACTCACCATGATGGGCGTGCACAGCACTACACGCGAAACCTCCTTTTAAGCATGATCAACAGATGGAGGCCGCAAATAAATCTATAATCTCACTAAATTTCTACTTGGAAAAAATGTTTTTTCGAGGCGTAAGAATAATTCTGCAAGCTAGGGAGTAAGATCGGAGTATGTTTTATTTTGTGGCTGTGGATATCAATTATCAAGCATAACTTCATGTACACGTACGTAGCTTCTCCTTCTTCTTTAGCTATAAACAAACAAAATTCTCCGCTCCGTTTATAGCAATCCCTACATGTGGTTAGGAAGTTTTCTTGTAGATTTCCACTAGATGTTGGGTGTAGCCATTGGAATCCTACGTGTTTTTCATTCCCAGCGATCAATTTTTCCTGTCTACCTTTCTACTTGCAAATTAGCGTGAAATGTAAGCTCCAATAGGCAAAGAGAGCCTCTTTAGAGCATATAATTTTTTTTCTTGTTTAATAGGAATTAGATTGATATTTACGTGAACATTCAACCAGCTTAGTTCGAACATGAGATTCTAACGCACAATCTCATGAACACAGCACAACAGCAATATTGTCAACTTCATTGTTCAAGAAAGAGTAAAATGTTGTTTGGGCGAGGTTTTCTAACCAAAGTTTCATTTTTTTTATTACCCTCGATCTAACTTTTAACATAAAACCATGTATTCTAATTTCACCGAGGACTTTGGAAAAGAGTGACGGAGAGAAGATGGTTCAAAGTGCAAAATTATATGCATACAACATACAAACCAATTCAGCTAGAATTTTTTTGTAGCAGCGCGCACAACATAAGCACCACAACCGCCGCACTATTGTAGAAATGGCAACCGAACATGCCCTATCACTGGTAGATAAACCATCTTTGGTCGGTCGACCCATATCCACAATAGTCCCGGTTCCATTAAAAACCGGGACTAAAAATGATTTTTAGTCCCGGTTAATAAGAGGAAGATCTTTAGTCCCGGTTGTTGTTACCAACCGGGACTAAACATCATCTTTAGTCCCGGTTGGTAACTCCAACCGGGACTAAAGTTCATTTTTAGTCCCGGTTGATTCCATGTCAGGCTGTGTCAGGGCCCTATGATCTTTAGTCCCGGTTAGTAACAACAACCGGGACTAAAAACCTATTTTTAGTCCCGGTTGGTGTTACTAACCGGGAATAAAAATCAAAACACACTATATAATCCATAGTACCGATCCTCTTTTCCCGTCCACACAACAAACTCCTCCCTCTATCTCTTTTTTTCCTCTCTAACTTCTTATCTCTTTTCTTATCTCTAACTCCCCTCTGCTCCTTCCTTTTTTCCTTCACCACAGTGCAGGCGGCCGGCGCGGAGGCGGCGACGCGGGGGACGGCGCGGCAGCGCGGGGGGCCGCGCGGCGGCGGCGGTGGGCGGCCGGCGCGGCGGCGCGGGAGGCCGCGCGGCGGCGCCTGGGGCCGCGCGGAGGCGGCGGCTGCGGTGGGCGGCCACTCGGCGGCGACCGGCGCGGCGCTGGCCGGCCGGCGCGGAGGGGAGGAGGGGAGGAGGCAGTGGCCGCCGGCCGGATTTTTTTTCTTTTTTTTTTGAGATGTGAATCTGTGATGTATTTTTGTGTGAGATGTGAATCTGTGATGAATTTTTTAGAACCCTGTGATGTAATTTTTTTAAGAGTTTGTGATGTATTTGGAGATGATTTGTTTGAGGATTTGGAGATGTTATGTAATATGTGATGATTTGGATATGGGAGGGGACGGTGTGAAATCAATATTCAATATTAAAAGCAGAAAAAAAAAGAAAAAATATCTTTAGTCCCGGTAGGTGTTATCAACCGGGACTAAAGATGTTCCCATCTTTAGTCTCGGTTGGTAACACCAACCGGGACTAAAAATTGATTTTTAGTCCCGGTTATTTGAACCGGGACTAAAGATAGCGATCTTTAGTCCCGGATTCGTAGTCCCGGTTGGAAAACCGGGACTACAGGGGGTTACGAACCGGGACTAAAAAGCATTTCTCCACCCGTGTATATTGAGGAGGATAGTTGAAAGTGAAACATTTATTTTGAAAAATAACTGGAAACTTATCCTATGCATTAACTAATTTACTCCAAGAAACGATCAAACTTAAATTAACTAATCTAGACACAAGCACCCTAAACTAGATAGACCAATGGTAAAAGATGGCGTCGTCCTCTATCACCATTAAGAAGAAAAAAATAATGCAGATGGGGTTCCAAGATGGAGGAGAGAACTTTAGGGGACACATTAGCAAACATGAGGTGTATGGACAAAGTGTCATGTCAAAATAATCCACTTAGATTCTTCACCATCATCATGTCCCCCCAAACTTTATTCCAGTCCTCCTCTGTTCCCATCGACGTAGTACTATACATCCCGTCTTCTCACCTCATCTCTCTCTCTATCAGAGTTTGCCAAACCGCCGGGGCCGGGGTTACTGTGCCTCGGCGGTAAGCACGGTTACCACGCGGTAACCGTGAAAAACCGTTCGAAACCGTGTAAAATGTATCAAAAATTTAAATTATTTTTTAAATTTATTTAAATTTAAGGAGGTTACCGCGATTTTTCTATTACCGTACCCCGCCTGTAACCGCAGTAACCGTGTGGTTACCGACTATAAGTCGAACCCTACTCTCTATCCGGTACATGTACGTGTGTATATATATATATATAGAGAGAGAGAGATCATGTGTACCGAAGTGTACTGCCACGGCCTACGTACGACGTCGTCGTACGTACACCATACGTATACATTTGACTGGAATATTATACCGTCGTTTTCCTCTTGTTTTCGTCCAGGTCGATTGACTGGACCGACCGACATAAACCGACAAATGGATGGAGTTACACCATCTTTATTTCCAACTTCCGGCGTGTTTAGTTTACGCCAAAATTAAAAGTTTGGTTGAAATTGTAACAATGTGACAGAAAAGTTGAAAGTTTGTATGTGTGAAAAATTTTTGATGTGACAGAAAAGTTGGAAGTTTAAAAAAAAAGTTTGGAATTAAACAAGGGCTTCATGTGTTATATATGCACTTCAATTTGAGGTTGATTTGATTCTTTGGAGTATTGTGTATTTCAAACAAGCATATACTTCTAGTAAAAGTGGGCCCAGCTCTTAAACATAATATCTATAGTGGAACGCATAAATTTGGAAAAAAAACATAAGATTAGAATATCACGTGTTACTAAATACTATTCCACAAAAATCTATAAAACACAGAAATATAAAATGTCCCTTGTTTGGATGGTTAAAGAAAACTTCCGTAGGAATTTGGAGGATTGTATAGGGAGAGATCAGACTATCAGAGGCAAAGATTAGTTGCGTTATTAGACTTCTCGTTAGAAAAGGAAAAGATGTCTGAGCTTATTATCTAGTTTTCTATGAAATTGGTGTATAGGAATTCAATCCATAAGAACTTGGTGAGTACAAATCCTTTGTTACAAATGATGTATGTAGCAAAATTTTCTACGGATTTCAATCCTCCATTTCTCCTATGAAAATTATACAATCTAAGGAGGCCGTATTTACAAGTTCATGAAGAAACCATTATTAGAAAAACTCCCTCTGTTTCATATATATATTTTTTAGTCAAAGCGACTTATAATATGAAACGATGGGGGTAATTGATTTAGTTAGCTGTTTGACGCGTTCGTAATTAAGACGCAAAGAGGCTATTTTTGTTCCATTGTTAGAAAATAAATTAATTTAGCATAAAATATACAAAACACTTTAAAACAAGCCTAAAAATGTACTGTTTTAGTGCATGTAACTTCTCAACGCATGGCATGTGCGAATTTACCAATTTTATTGGCTAGTTAGCAAACCAAATTACCCTTGTCAAATACTATTACTCTACCAAAAATTTGAGAATACCCATCTAACTTTGATACCAAACTAAAAGATGCATTTTCATCACTACTACAATCCAAACCCCTCCATCAATAAACACAACGGATTTTAGGTTTTTTTAGCGCAGTTTAAGATTTGGATAAAACTACTTTAATGTCCTTAGAAGTTTACTTGAGAAAAGATCACGCACAATACAACTACTAGTAGTGAATAATAAATACAATGGTTAGATTGAAAAAGAAGTCCTCCAAAACCCTTTATATCTATAGATAGATGGGGTATATATCTCACTCCCTCCATCCTGGAAAGAGAAGATTTTTAGCGTTTAAATTTGTAACTTGATTCCTAAGGTTTACAACCAATTAAGCTAAGACATATCGTCTGCATTTAATAAGAGCTAGAAAATAAAATGTATTAATGAGTAGGCAAAATTTGTTATATAACACTCAAAGTTTATGTTTTTTTACTCTGGACATTGCAAAAACATGATATGGCTCGAGGATACCTAAAAGAATGATAATTTCCTAGAGAGCACCAGAACTATTATTTGGCTTGAGGAGTATCATTTTTAGCAAATAGAGAGAGACCTTAAAGAAAAGACAAATTTGCCCATCGAGCCAACGACATATAATTCAGCTAGGTCTGGTTCAAACCACACCTGAGCCCCACTCCATCTCCCGATCCCCCTTCAAATTAAACCCTACAATGACCCTTTGAACCAAACCCAACCATGTTACAGGTTTCTGACTGAGA